CCATAAAAGTTCCCCAGTTCGATGCCCAGTGCAGTAAATACCGTGATTGAACCACACAGAGAGAGAGAGAGAGAGAGAGAGAGAGAGAGAGAGAGGTAACCTTCATCACTTGACAATTGCTCTAATAGTAAATAACAATGTCACCAGGGCCGACACACACACACACACACACACACACACACACACACACACACACACACACACACACACACACACACACACACACACACACACACACACACACACACACACACACACACACATACACACACAACTCCACCCATAGGCCTACCCCCCCCACCCTACCCCCCCACGACGCCATTTACCAGCTCGGGGGATTGAGGGAGGGGGTGGTGGGGGGTGGAGGAGGGGGTAATAGCTTCACGCCATAACACTCCCCCCACCCCCCCCTCCTCCCCCAACACCTCCCTCTCACCTGTAATAACTCACGCCATCACCTGAAACACATTACCAATACCACGCCACTCTAACCTCTAACAATGGCGCACCTCTTCTTGTATTGTAATGGCGTATAAGGTGAATAAAATATAGTAACTTAATGGCGTAAGGTGTATGTGGTCTTTGGATTATATAATGGAGCGCTGAGTATATTTGTGGGGTAGATTTTGGGGCTTAGATTATAATTCCAAGGACCAAAATGACACATGAAAAAAACCCTTATCTCATCTTATGTTAAAGGTGTCAAAAAACTCTTATAATGGCTCAAGATAATACAAAACCTCAAATTGGCTCAGACTGACTCAATCTACCATAAAAACATACTAAGCTCCTCAGATAATGGTGTATTTGAATCCTATAATGGTGCATTTGAATCCTATAATGGTGCATTTGAATCCTATAATGGTGCATTTGAATCCTATAATGGCGCAGGAGGAATGCATGACGCCCACTATTGAGACGAGTTAACATACCTGAGACCTTGGCATTGCTCAGGTGTTAATCCATTACCTGTGTGTGTGTGTGTGTGTGTGTGTGTGTGTGTGTGTGTGTGTGTGTGTGGTTCTCTGAGACACCTTCCTTCCTTCCTTCCTTCCTTCCTTTCTTGTCTTTTCTCTCTTCCCTCATTATCTCCATTTCACCCTCCTTCCCTTTCTTCCATTCCCCTTCCCTATCCCCTCCTACACACACACACACACAGGTAACAAAACACACCTGTCCAATCTAATTAACTCAGGTAAGCAACAAATTAACATTACTCTTTATATATATTTAAAACTCACCAAAACTAAATTAATAAACCTATAATACAAATAGATATATACAGTACATTATATATATATTTAATTCAATTATGGTGATATTTAAGTTTGTTTATATCAATATAGGTGATAATTATATAGAGATTAATGGGAGAATATTAAGTGATAGATGAATTAGTTTGCCTTATTAGGTAATGAGGTATGACTAGGGTTTATTAATGGTTTATATATTTGTTTTATGTGTGAAGGAGAATGTGTACTGATATATATTGTCTCTTTTTCTCTCTTTTTCTCTCTTTCTCTCTCTTTCTGTCTCTCGTTCAGGGGCAGAGGTTCATCCGCTTCCATTTATTGTTTTTTTATGTTTCTGTCTGTCTCTTTGTCTCTGTTTCTGTCTGTCCGTCTCTGTGTCTCTCTCTGTTCGTCTGTCTTTGTATTT